AAATTTATTTATTTATCTTTTCGGGGTAAATTTTAAGAAAACACTGTAGAATAGATATATTTATTATAAATAATAAATAATTTATAATGTTTGCTAGACGTCAAATGCTTCGTGACACACCACTAATCCGAGGCTCCCTGCATGCTGCTGACCACTTAATGACGACCCGGCCTAATCAAATAACACATCCCTAGCACGTACGTCTCGTGGAACTTAAAAGGGATGTTAGAGCTCTGTTATAAATTGCCGTTTTTGTTTCTTATTATCATTGTAAAATGGTATTTAAGGCCGGTGCATTAGAGTGATATTTTGGTTTTTAGTTGGACAAGTAAATATAATGTCATTCGGTGAAGGCAATTTGTGGTGGATACCAATTCATCTCTCGGCATTAAATGTGAATAGTGACAGAATAGATTCCTGTGCGTATTGATTTTAGTGTGATTCTGTGAACAAAGAGCTACTGGATGCTTTAAATAACAATACCTATTGTCTAGGTATGTATTGCTAACTTTCACACTCAAGGTCAGTTTCAGACTAAAAGTTTTCAGATTTAGTTATTTTGGATGCTCGATGTAAGTAACGTAAAGTAGGTATATTTAGGAGTGCTTAGAATTAGCTGAAATTAATGTATTTAAGTCTTTAATTAAAGGCTATGACGGTTGTAAAAATACGTATTATTTCTAAACTTACGAAGCCCGATGTTTCACTGTGACTATCGCTAACAGTATGAGTAATATATAATATGCATGTACTATCCATTGTACTTTGATTGTACTATGACAAAAACCTTTGCTGGAGCGCCAACAAGCACTGACCAAGTTTGATGGCTTAGCACGGCCAACCGTGTTAACCTTAATGTGAACCATCATCAATTATCATCAGCCCACAGATGACCACTGTTGTACATAGGCCAAGGCTCGTCACGACGACTGGTCCTGCGTAGCCCGCATCCATTCAAATCACCTTTATTTAGCGAATAATACAGGAACAAATTCAATTTACTACTCTGCAGCACTTAATGAAATAAAAATATGAGCCGTATAAAATAAAAAGACCCCCAATACTTAAAAAGTGGATAGAAATTCAATATTAACTTAGAGGATTGTTCAAATATAGTCACTGCCCCCGGGTCGGCTTGCCCGTTGATGAATATTAAACAGAATTAAACAAACATAAAGACAACGTACCAATTAGCCCGAGGATGTGTTGCACATGTGGCTTTTATTTGATTAGGTGGAATATTTTTACTGTTTTCAAGTAAATATTCGAATACTTGTGGTACCTACTATATTATTGTTGATTTTAAACGACTTAAGCCGCTATTGAAAACAATCGCAGTCTTGTTTGGGACACGTTTTTTTTTTATAAAATTTAATTTTTCGTAAAAAAAATACGTAGTACTTCCTAAATACCACACTCTAAATATTTTAACTTGTCAGGAATCACAAGCATTGTAAGCTGGCTTCGTGAACGAGTCAATATCCTTTGTATTTAGTCTTTTCGAGGCTAAATAGCCTAGTAGTTAAACATTAAATACATACATAAAAGACAACAGTGCTAATTATGTAATATTGAGCTAGTGCATTGTATGTACTATGTTTGATAAAATATGGGATTTTTCTACCCCATATCATCATACGGTGCTTAGGTAGCTCTGAAATTAAAAACCACCTATTTAACTAGGATTCTCACTACCTACCCCACACTGGTAAAAAAACCACTATATTTAATGTGGTAATTTAATAAAATTCATGATGACATCATACTATTATATTGAAATTTGTATATTTTCAAGTAGGTAGTACATAACCCCGACAATACAATTTACTATTTTGGATATATATATAGTTAGTGTAATATCGTTTTGGAAACGGTGCCTCACATCCAATATGCATGGTAAACTCGTTTAAAAAGAAAACCAAAAATATATATAGTATTTATTATTATTAACCATAGAGTAATCTAAATATATCGAAGGGTGCGAAATTCACCGAAATGTGTGGGATTAGCGCCCCGACTGGTCCGCGATAAAAGGGAGACTGCAGATTTGTTGGGAGATAACTACTAACTATAGCTTTTAAGTATTCAACTATTAATTTACTTGATTTTATTGGTGATAAAATATTCTTAATGCGTTTTATCCACGTGTATATCTTAATGTGTTTTTTCCATTGAAAAATAGCATGTATTGTTTAATTTCAATACATATTCCGTGTGCGTGTGTGTTCGACAATAGAGAAACACATTAAGATATCAATACATATAATAAAACAGTGAAATCTGGTGTATTCAAGAAAAGTAATTTAAATAGAACGGCAGTAATTAAAGAAGTGTACTAGAACGTAATTTTTTTTTTTTCGGTTTGTTTACTAATAATACTGAAAGTTGGGTTGAGAGAAAAAATTACCAATCTAAGCAACAAAATAATCTGTCAAATATGTAATTATGAGTGATTTTTCATTAAATGTAATTTAGTATGTTCATTTCCTGTATACGCAGTGGTACAAATCAGCGCCCGTCCAATCAATAGCGCGTGACGAATTCCTTTCGTTCCATTATTATAAACGGTTTTGTGGATTTGTGACTTTTTTTAAATCCAGTTTTTTTAAGTCAGATTAAAAGTTATGTAAAGCTCTCCCTCTTTAAGAACGGTTAGCTGCTATTTTCGTTATTAACATTACTTATGAAAACGCTGTAGTACCTTATCGACCGCACCTGGCATTAAATGTAACATACAAAGGACGAAAAAGTTAAGTCAAGTTAAGTTAAGCTCGCCAATTTATAAGTTTTCGCAATTATTGTATTGTATTAACTGTGTGTATAATAAATAATATAGTAATAGTAAAGTAAGTAATAAATCATATTGTATCTGACTTTACAAAAATAAGAGAAAGCTTCATAATTCAACGCATATGGCTTTTCCTATTTTTAAGCTATTGGTCATGTTTGAATAAGGCTTTTGTTGTCTCCGAAGAAAGTAGCCGGTCTTCAGCTGAGCGTTCAAGTCGGTAGGCGGGGCATGTCGTAGTTGAACCTACTAGAACTGAGTAGAACTCCCTGTCGGGTAAGGTGACCCTTTTCGAGTAATGTCCGTGTTTCTCCGACATCTTGCTGTCGTCATTGGCACCAATGGGACTCTGAGTCGGTAGGCTATTCGAAACCCGACTAGATGGCTCGGTCAACTAATACTCGTCCACTAACCGGATCGGCTAGCCAGAACCATGCCTCCAAGATGGAAATATAATAAAAAATAAAGTTTTTAGCCACTCGGCCTCGAACGCAACGTATGTGGGTATATAACTTTTGTATTTATTTAAACAAATATGTAACTTTACAGAAAACACTTTATCTTAGAATCAATTTAAATCGTATATGGGGAGGAGAGAAAGCTGTCAAGTCTGGGTAACTAGATACGTTGTTGTTGAACTAGTTACTATAATTAAATGTATATATATAACCAGAGTACTTATATTTCTGTAACAGTAAAAAATAAGAGCATAGAATCCTGACACCATCTATCTAATACTGTTATTGCTTTCCAATCCTCTGTAATGGTAACGTGAGCGTCGGCTGTAAGAGTCCAGGGGAGTCGTTTAGTGCTGTAGGGTCCTAAAACTCCTTGGGCCCACGGTCTGCTCTGCAGGTCGTCAAGTCCTACATACCCCGCGCACCCCCTCGGCGCGGAGACATCGGCGAAGGATGTTCGGCCCCCGGCCCGAAAAAAAATATGAGTTTGTGTGTTGTGTTGTTTGTTATGGAGTTCGCAGCTGTTATTGGCAACCTTGCTTAAGCGGCAAGATGCTATGGATTCAATATCAAACAGGGCTGACCCTGTAATCTAATTAAAGATAAAGTTTAAAAGAAAAAACAAGTCAAATACTCGTAATTTCATTTTATGAAAGTTCTTCATCACAAGTGCATCGTTTCATATCGCGTAAAATTCGTAATAATTGGAGCAAATACAGACGTCCATAACAATACGACTCGTAACGAATTTCCAAAGTAAACATAACGTTTTCGTAACTGGATCCCAAACGGGTGCCCCCATATAACAACACCAACAATGACAAGAATATAAAAACAAACATTATGCAATTGCAATAAGGACTATTATCCCAAAAGCAGTCACACAGCAGTTGGTGAGTTTTCAAAGGAACCTGAACAATGCTTTGGCTCAGGGGTGCGTAAAAGCATTTACAACTTTTCGCTCTTTAGTGGCCATTGTTCCAATTTGATTTATATTCATGCGTGCTTGTATTATTACACGGTAAATCATACGTGAATTTCTCTTATTCAATTTAATTGGTGTTAAAGATCAACTATTATTTTTCTTAATATCTAATATAAAATTACCCGAAATATCTAGTTATCACCGAAAATAATACACAAAGAGTATTTTAGTCCAACTAATGTTCACTATATTTTTTAGAGGCTTAGGAATTTCAATGAAGACTGCAAATATGAACAAGAGATTAAAGAAAAAGCTATTATGCAGTAGGATTAAAGAGGACGATGTGTCTTTTTTAATCTGAAAGACCGGGCATATATGGAAAATGAATGATGGGAAATAGCTCAAAGAAATATTATAACCACACAGATTACCTTACAATAAAATATAATATGTTGAAATAAAACACATTAAGAAGTGTATAGTAGCTAACTACGCTAGATTTAACTGTGTTGGTGGAATTACTGAGACAGTGGTCACCATTAGTCAATTAGGTAGACCATAAAGACCCGTTTATGTCTAAGATAGCAATGGAAGTTAACTAAAGCGGTTGCGGAGTTAAAGTAGAAGTAAATAATTATATTCAAAATGTAAAAATATATTTATTTTACAAATACAATGACTAGATTTAGACTGTTTACAATTCAACTTAAATTACTTTATTACGTATATAAAAAATAAAATCTTATTGTCTCTTTGGTCCGTTTAAGTTACAACCTCTTATTCAGTATTTGCTTAAAGCGCTGTTGTTATAAAATGACTAGAATAATTTTTATATTTGAGCATTAACAACAGGCATGTTAGTTCGATTATAAAAATTTCTATAACATCTCTGATCGTTATAATAATATGTGTTTTGTAAATAATCATTATTATCGCTATTATAACAATTAATGTCGTTATATCCGTAGACAGATGTTGCATGTTTGTCGTGATTGGATCCATAATCCTCTATTTTTATTCGTTTTTGGTTTTTCGCAGTGTCAAATGCGTTCTTGAACGTTTCGTAATTCTTATGGTTAAAGTACTCTTCTTGATTGTTCGGTGGATGGTAAAAATGTTCGTTATATCCGTTATTTTGGCTATAATTTCTTTGGTGGTAGAAGTTCTGTTGGGTAAGGTCGTCACCGAAGCTAGCTGGGTGTGTGAAGAATCCACTGCCCGTTGTTGAAGTTATACAATTACCACCCTTATTATTTACCGACACCGTAACGTTGCCAACGTTAATCAGAACACCTTCTGGAGTTTGCATGAAATTAGAACCATTTGGAAAAGGTTTGCTGTATCCTTGAAAATTTCGATAGCTTCCATCACCAACACCTTCCGATTTATTAGGAACTAAAAATATTTCTCTAAACGCATCTTTAGTAACTTTGTCTCCGTTAAATTGATAACTTTGTAGTTTATCACAGTTCAATGCTGGATTTGCTACTTGTGTTTGATCGGAGTTGATATTGTTCAGTGATTCTAATGTTTGACTTAGAGCAAATATGTAATTGTGAGCAAATCTGAGTGTCTCTATTTTAGTAAGTTTCGTGTCCTCGGGAAATGTCGGCAACACACATCTCAGTCTATCTAAAGCCTCATTGAGCATGTGCATTCTGTTTCTTTCTCTATCGTTCGCTTTCATCCGCCTATTCCTTTTTATTCTTAAAATTTGTGTTGGACTCTTGCATCTTGTCACTCTGTTTTTTCCGTTTGCGTATTTCCTTTTAGGCTTGTTTGGATCTTTCAATTTTCTCTCTTTCTTTGGTGTGGATGTTACAGATGATTTGATGTTTTCCTCAAAGGCACCCAAATCATCGATTGGACTCGTGAAGTCCAAGTCATTGAACAGTTTTCGTCTTACATTTGTTTCTTTGACTGGTGTGAGAGAAACACCTAAGTCGGATATGTCAAGTTTTGTGTGTGTACTGTTGTTGGAAACTGGAGTAGTTGTAGAGTCATTGTAAGATCTATCGAAGCCGGAATCGTTGCTGCAGATACTGTCGTTGAAATCACAATAGTTTTCGAATTCTGTACCGAACATATTTTTCGAGATCTGTAACAAAAAGGAAAACGTCGTTATTGATTTATCTTTTTCATACCTACTGAAAATTCCTTCTAAAGAGTTATTAAACAGTGCACAAAGTAAAAGTATTTATGAGATAGTGTTTTTTCCAAAGCAATTTTTATGTCTAAATCTGGACAGGTGAGTCCACCCTAAGCATAACGGTTCGCGTGAGCAATGTGTTACGGAAAGTCAGTTGAACTTTATCACTTCCGATTTCCGGCAAGTGATTTCCGTTTTTAGGGGTGGCCGGTTGTGTTGATTGACCACTTGATTGTAGACCGTTAAATTGATTTAATATTCAAAGAAATAACCAAAAATGTTCCTGAACTGTATCTTGTCATTTCAAAGAATAAAATTCTTTGAGATAATTTCATTTAAATACAAAAATTTACTTCAGAAAATAAGGATTGCTAACTAGGTATTTGTGAAAATTTAACTGATTTAGAGGAAGAAGACGAACTGCATAAAATGGACATGTGTCGTAAATAATATACATTTTTCGTATCGCCCATATATTTTGAATACCATTTGAATATTCTAAATCTAATAGCAAAGTAAAATGTAAAATATTACTTGGATATATCTTTTAATACTTGGCCGTGAGCCACCTGTCTGATGCTTACACATGTGGCCCACGGCCCATCTGGTGTTAAATGGCCACCGGAGCTTATTGACATCAACAATACAAATGCCGTCAGCTACCTTGAGACATGACTTCTGAGTCTCGGTTTTAACCGATAAACGGCTGCTACCCGGCGGCTACTCTTTAAGCTGAAACCTATTATTGCTTCACGATAGAAATAGGCATATTGGTGGTATCTAACCGTGCGGACTCACAAGAAGTCCTACCACCAGTAAGCAATAAAATGATGCTGTCATCTTAGAACCACCATCTACGTGACATTTCAACCCACTCGTCCATCCCAATACCATGAAACGCTTAGAGCGAGTCGAGATAGCTAGCTGTTGTCGTTACAATTCTGATGGGTTTGGTCCGACCTCTGCGAATGAAAGATCAAAGATTTGCCAATGGTATCGTAGAAGCTACCAACACGGTTCGCGCATACCTATATATAGAAAAAAGGCACCCCAATAAATAGCTGAAAGTCTTTGTTTTGTTGTGTCCCAATAGCGATAATAGAACTTTGTTACGAAAAGTAATTTATATCCTATTAGTGTTTATATCTGCACTAGAAATATTACGAGTGCGTGGTATACTTGTGAGTTCGACCACCTGCATTATGGCACGCGACGTCCACGCGTCATACACGCGACATTTGTTTGTAATATGGTTCCAGTAACCGCCGAAGCGTGGCCAGATTGTCGGGTCGTAAAGTTAATTGTTCGAATGTTACTGTTCTCTTAATGATCACGTAATTTTGTATTAGACTTTAATTGGTGTCGTAGTTCTTACAGGGTTTTTAAATTGATGTTAATCTCTCGTAATGATGTAATAAAGATAGTAATAGTATCTATTTATATACATATATTGTTTTGGTGTCTATACGAACATTTTAAATATCTCTATATAACTAACGTTCTTAAACGCAATAATTGCCTTTTTGATTAAAGAAACAAAGCTCCTTTCAGAGACAGGATTTCGCAGTCATAGATGGTATAGGTAATCTGATTAAAATTTAAACTTAACAGTTTGCGCCGCGCTTAATAAGAAATGTTTCAGTACCCGTCATCATTAATAATGCTAGATCACTGCTTAAATAGAAAAGTACTATTACAAGACTGTTTCGAAGAGTGATAGGTCTTATAGGTACAAGCTTTTGCTGTAGTGCGGGCTGCAAGTCGGCAAGGGCAAAAATCTTTGTGTTTAAAGGAAACAACAAAAGCTAGATTTTTCAACGAACTCATGGTTTTTTCTTAGTAAATTGATGTGAATCTTGTCGTTCGAAACTTGTATGTATGCAAAATTTCTCAAAAATTTCGTTGTGTAATTCAAGTTTTTATCGAACTTCCAATATTTGATCTTTAGCCTCACTGTTTCTGCTGTGAATCAGTTCCGCGTTTTGGTCTCTTAAGCACCCTATCAGTGTAGCTATGCAAATAAGAAAATTTGCAATCCGTGATAATAAAAACAAGAAACAAACACTGGTGGTAGGACCTCTTGTGAGTCCGCACGGGTAGGTACCACCACCCTGCCTATTTCTGCCGTGAAGCAGTAATGTGTTTCGGTTTGAAGGGCGGGGCAGCCGTCGTAACTATACTGAGTCCTTAGAACTTATATCATCATCAAGGTGGGTGGCGCATTTAGTTCGTAGATGTCTATGGGCTCCAGTAACCACTTAACACCAGGTGAGCTGTGAGCTCGTCCACCCATCTAAGCAATAAAACAAACAAATAAAAAAAAACTTACTTAAAACTGTTCTTCAGATCTATCCGAGAATTTTTTCGTCTTCAACTCTTCTCCGTTTGTTACCTCTCAAGAGAATCTTATAATATTTTCGATCACGACACTCTTACAAAATCAAAACCCACAAAAAAAAAACAATTAATCAATCATAGTTCACTCGACAAGTATAATTAATATTAGGACACAAAGTAGTTAGTTCTGTAAGTTTTAGTTATTTTTGTAAAACTATGACTAGAAAAATATGTATATTTAGGCAGTTAGTGATGTGGGCTTTCACATGACTATATGGTATGGGCACATTTGACGCGCCTGCGTCGGCGACCTAGTGTGACTGTGGGTCGTTAGCTTATGCCGCCCTATTTTATGTTCCCATGCCCAATCATAGGCGCTAGGCCACGCCTACTACTCGAATAAGTTTTTGATTATAAAAAAACTCTTTTCAGTTGCTTTGGATTAATAACACGAGATAAATTTGTAAAATATATAACATGAGATATCATGATATGATGATAAATTGTACATAAAATATTTTTTTTTTATGATTTAAGGATTACTGTCGGCCCGGAAGCCTTTCCAGTTTCACTAGGACAGGTGGGCGAGCAAAGGCTCAGCCAGGAGGAGGGAGAGGAGTAAAAAAAGTGTTTAAAAAGAGCAAATATCTCATTAGAATCGCTAGGAAATAAATAAATAAAATAAAATAAAATTCATTTAATTCAGACCCTCTTAAGTCCATATGTTGTAAGTAGAATAATACTTATAACTATGTTAATAAAATTAAAATTAAAATTAAATAAGTACACATTTGACATTTTGAAATAACCTAACAACTGTATACATATTTGCACAAGGTAATAAAATCCATTGAGCCACGTTTGATTTGTAAAAAAAACTATTGAACTTCTACCATACTACACGCTTTAATTTATTTAATAGTTTAATAGCGCGTGCAATGTATTTCGCTTTTTTATTGGCAACCCTTTCATGTTATTGACANAATTAAATAAGTACACATTTGACATTTTGAAATAACCTAACAACTGTATACATATTTGCACAAGGTAATAAAATCCATTGAGCCACGTTTGATTTGTAAAAAAAACTATTGAACTTCTACCATACTACACGCTTTAATTTATTTAATAGTTTAATAGCGCGTGCAATGTATTTCGCTTTTTTATTGGCAACCCTTTCATGTTATTGACAGGCCATAAATTATATCAATATTTGATCAGACACGCATCTCCGCGGAATCATGCCTGTAAATGGTGAGATTTATTTTTTTACTTCATTCATCTACAAATATTCATTTCGTGTTGGGTATTATTTACTAAATATGTTTATTAAATTTAGAACCAATGATTTGAGACATCATTTGTTTTTATTTTAATTATTGCCTTTGTAGACTCTGTACTTAATGGTTAGCGTCGCTTATGGACGTCACTAATGGAAGGGTCCTTAAACCTCGTTTGAAGAAGAAGATCCTCAAAGAGCTCAGGAAGCACTGAAGGAAAGTGTGCCTCAATCGATAAATAAAAGACACATCAAGGGGACACATCAAAGGAAAAACAGAATTGTTATTTTTATTTAATTCCGAGCATTTTCATATTTATTTAACTTTTAAACCTTCTCTGGACTTCCACAAATAATTTAAGACCAAAGTTAGCCAAATCGGACCAGCCGTCCTCGAGTTTTAGCGAGACTAACGAACAGTAATTCATTTTTATATATATAGATAGAATAGATATCTGGAAACGCACCGTGTGCTATATGTAGAGGTTCTAAGTACTATTGATTGATTCTGGCTCTATTTTAACTTGGCAATCATATTATTAATTTATTTTTCAGCACCCTGATAGTATCACCACGAATGTTTCCTACAAAGCACAGGTATTTTAAAACTAAAAATCTAGCTAGTAGAAAATACTTAAATGTTCAACTGTGAAAACATTTTTACATACTATAGATTCAACTATGTAGGTATAGGGTCTGCGTTTTCGATCAGTTGATAAATAAAATTACAAAGCGACGTTTTCACGCCACATGTGACCGACACGGCCCAATGACGATTTCTTGTAGAACGTTGATAAATTGCGTCACGCAGACAACATTTAAAGGGTTATGCTTGGAAATAATAAAAAAGAAAATCCGCGTATTTTGAGCACATTTTTTCATTGCCTAGAAATTCGAAGCATTAGAAATTGCTTTGAAATCATGACAGAACTGTATAGATTTGTGAACGATTATAGAGGGTATACGGTACCCAACGTACCGTACCACAGTATACCCATATTCGATATAGCAATTATAGATATAATTAAACAAGTAGACAAATACGTACCTAGCATGTTATCACTAAGGACTTTTTTATAATGCAGGAAAGAAATATACAAGAAATTATAATTCACGTAATTTTAAACACATAAAATTTGAAGTCGTCGTGGCCTAACGGATAAGACGTCCGGTGCATTCGTGTTGAGCGATGTACCGGTGTTCGAATCCCGCAGGCGGGTACCAATTTTTCTAATGAAATACGTACTCAACAAATGTTCACGATTGATTTCCATGGTGAAGGAATAACATCGTGTAATAAAAATAAAACCCGCAAAATTAT